TGATAACTTACCCAGGTCCACCTCGTCGGCCTTGGGCTTCTGCTTGCGTTTCTGCTCGATCTTGTCCGTGTCGGTGTTGATGGCCTCGAAGACGGTCTCGGCGACCTCGTGCTGCCAGCGCTCCGAGACCACCAGAGGGAAGTTCTTGTACAGGTCCTGGTCAGCCTCCGTGAGCTGGACGACGCAGAACAACACAGTCATTATTGAACACATCAACTGGACGACACAGAAACAACACAGTCATTATTGAACACATCAACTGGACGACACAGAAACAACACAGTATACAGGTCCTGGTCATCCTGAGTCAACTGGACGTCGCAGGAACAAAGCACAGTGCACGTTAACTAATACGTCACCTGGACAGCACAGAAACATAGCACAGTGCATTAACAAATATAGCACAATGCGTTAACAAACAGCACAGCACAGTAACAAGCACGTCAACCGGACGACACAGAAGTATAGCAGTGTGTTAACAAAAAACAAACAGTACAGTGCGTTAACAAATAGCACAATACAGTAACAAACAGCGCAGTACAGTAGCCCCGTTAACAAACATCACTGTACAGTGGTCTCAGTAAAAACATCACAGTACAGTAACAAATATTACAATTCAGTAGCCTCGTTAACAAACAGTTCAGTAGCCTCATTAACAAACATTTTGTAACAATGGCCTTGTTAAATAACAATTTTAATGGTCAACAGATGAATGGTAATTAAGTGAATAAACACTTTCGAAAGAGTTTTTTGTTTCAGTAAGAGTTTTCCGGCACTTGTAAGGTCATATAAGTGTCGAAGATTTGTAAAGGTACTACAAGAGAGTAAGAAACACAAAAAAGAAGGAGGGGGGAGGTAAAGACGACAGACGTTTGATAGGAAAGAAGGAGGGGAGATAAAGACGACAGACGTTTGATAGGAGAGAAGGAGGGGAGATGAAGGCGAAGACGACAGACGTTTGATAGGAAAGAAGGAGGGGAGATGAAGACGACAGACGTTTGATAGGAAAGAAGGAGGGGAGATGAAGACGAAGACGACAGACGTATGATAGGGAAGAAAGAGAAGCAACAAACCACATCAGAGCACCCGCCAACCATCCACAAGGAAGGGGAGATAAAGACGATAGACAGACATTTGATAGGAAAGAAGGAGTAACGCACAGCAGAGCACCCTCCAACCACCCGCACAAGAGAGTAACAAACACAAATAAAGAAGGAGGAGGGGAGATAAAGAAGATAGACATGATAGGAAAGAAGGAGGGAAGATAAAGACGACAGACGTTTGATAGGAAAGAAGGAGGGGAGATAAAGACGACAGACGTTTGATAGGAAAGAAGGAGGGGAGATAAAGACGACAGACGTTTGATAGGAAAGAAGGAGGGGAGATAAA